AATTTGATCCATACTGCATCCTTAGCTTTCCCCAGATACTTTTATTGAGGGTACCATCTTGCTTATTGTTGTTCAGGTTAACGCAATCTATGAATGGAATTTCTCTTAGACGTTTTTTAAAAGAATTATCATTAAATTGTCATTTTCTACAAATCAGAAACTGCTTCACGTCAAACAAAAGCATGCACGTGCATACGGTTTATTGCGTTAGACGCGCCTTGAAAATTACGCAATATAGATAATGTTGCTCAGATTAAATCGCTGTAAGGTATGTACAGCATTAGGGTGAGTGTTATTGCAAAATTTAATAACCATGGACTACCATCAGATGAGCTTTCAGTCAGCACCTGAGGGCATACCTGCAACGCCTCAGAGGGCAAGATGAGGACAACGAAGAGACGACGGCAAGGCTATAGATTGGACAGGTGAGATACTGGGAGGCGGGATTGAATTTAAAATGCGAGATACTGGAGACCTTCAATTAGAACCTTCAGTTCATTTAGAGAAAAGGATGATTCTTACATCGGTGTCAGGAAGAATTGTGGTGACCACATTTCGCTGTGAGCAATTTAGCAAATATTCTATAACCTGCTTGGACGCTTGTTTTAGACTCGACAATAGGGCAATTTGTCATAAATTTTTAAAAATATTAATAAGAATTCAAAAGCAAAGAAAACGACAAGGAAATTTACCGGGTCTTCATATTCTTTAATTTTTTAAAACTGAACTGATGTTAGGGCTCGTCTCTGAAACGCTTTCATTGAAGATATGCTGAATTATTTAGCATTTCTTTGCTTTTCAAATGTTGCTTAACGTTTACACGTTCACTAACCACGCCACTATTCTGGCTGTGAATACATTAAAAAGAATTATAACAAATTGCCCTATTGTCGAGTCTTAAATATCTTTCAGCCGGGTTCAAAAGAAAACAGTAGTTTCTTTCAATCGTTCGAGAACTTCTTTAATGGAAACTAAATCCAATTCCAGGTGTATCATAACCACGTGACATATTTTTCTATTTAGAAGATTGACTGCGCCAGTGTGATACCTAATGGCGCTCAGGAGATTATCTTGTGAAATATTCATACAATTATTGATTAGTTCGGTCGTGGCAAATATGAATTATGAAACATTTGACGTCAAAAATAAACAAATTCATCCGAAAATTTCTCTCTACATCAACTTCAACTTCAACCCATCCCCAGTAGGTATCCTGATGTGTTGAATCACTGCGATTCCTTGCATCCGCTGCATGATATTTGTACAAAATATCTGAATGATTAAGGTGTGAATTTAAGCATGCTAATGCATGGATTTGCAATAACTACAGGACGAACAGTAAAGAATATAATGCTGTACTACATAATTGTAAGTGCAAAATAATCTGAACATAGATAGGGCACAACTCTGATCAATGCTTCTCAAATAAAAATTGATGAAATAGACAAGTTTATTTTATATTTTAGCATATTTGACTGTGACGCCTGACACGATTTCTTTTTAAATCGCGACAACACTTCCATCTGAAACTCAGAGCGTAATGTCGTAGAGGCAAGCAAAAAATTATTTAGCGTTACGCATAGTTTATTGTGCTGTCGCGCGTTTAGCATTAAACACAAATAAATTTATTGAAATTGCTTTACCTTTTTTCAAACTAAGCAGCAAATGTATATGACAGCAATTAGTGTAGAGAAAAGGTCAACACTTCTCCCAGATCAGCTGTAGACAAGAAGCGAGCCATGCACGACGTGTCAATGCGCGGCAATCTGATTTCTACTGAAATCTCGCAGAGCAGCGACCATGTCATCTCCATGAGCTTCCCCAGGTTTATTGAAACTGAAGCATCATTGAGTAAATTCCGCTAGAACTTGCAATATATTATATACAATGATGTTTTATTCCAGCCACAATTGTATTCTACAATTGTGAAAAAAGACGCTAGACGCTAGACCACTCGTACATACATACCAGACCGGAGAATAATTTTCGTATAGATAGAAATTATTCTTGACTACTTTTACAAAATATGAACTAATGATTACAGAAAAGTTACAATCTTGAATGGCAGATGGACGAAGAATTGACTACTATTTCTACGACTTTTAATTTTATTAATGAAGAGGAGCTTCTGGGTCAAAAAATTAGAAAATTTGGCTTTCCGTTTGTTGGGCTCATTTTGTAAGTTGTCACAAAATAATTTTAGTCAATTCAATAATAATTTTAGTCAAATATTCAATTTACGTGACATATTTTCATTTCCCTGCACAGTTTGCTGCCCTTGCGCCTCGCTAAAAGAAGCCTAAATCAGCAAAATGGATTCGCACCTCCAGAACGCCGCCCAGGCACCTCAGACAGGTGAGTGGAGTTTGCGCTTCATCGCCGAGGCAAATAATTTGACTGCCAATCTCAACTGTGACAAGTTCATCTGTGTTGCTAACATTTTTCTCTGATGCAAGCGAAATGGTGAAATTTTCCCGAATTCCTTTCGCATATGAAAAAATTTGACTTTTTCAATCATAATGTATTTTGTTACTACATATTGTGATTTAAAAATAGTAAAATCATCATTCATTTCTTCAAGATATTCATACAAAAATACATAGGTTCAATCTGCAGTTGCCTCAATATCCTTAGCTTATATTTACCTCATGAATTTTATCCCATTGTTCTGATCAACTTAAACAAATTTGTTTGTATCTGAGAAGAAGCAGCAAGATCTTGCTCTGTGTTTTCCGAAATATTTTCAAAATAAAGTAAAGTTGCGATTATTTTATCAGTTATCAAGAGACTAGTAAAATAATAACTGATAGCAAAATTTCGTGTTTGAGAGGAAGCAATTGTGAACGATGAAAAATCGTTCAATATATTTTGTTAGTTTCATTTTTTTGGAGTTAGGATAAACTTATATTTAATACTGATACGGAATGTTCAGTGACACCGGCTCCGTGACATGTGCGTGGAATACAAATCTTTTTAAACCACAATGGTGAACTGGAAGATATAGCCTTTTGTTGTCAATCGTGTAAATTTATTCCTTCACTAAGTTAGCGACTGACGTTCCTGCTTAGGTGGGCATCATAGAGGGCAAGGATGTGAACGTTCAGTCACACTAAAATCGAAACTATACTAACGGGCACTTTTGTTTGTTGCAGGCAAAAGGGAAGTCGCCGCTGCGAAGACTGGACGCTCGTTGAGTCCAGAAGTAAAGTTAATCTTAAATAATATACGTTTAAAAATTACTTTTTGAAGACAACACTTCTAAAGAATCCAGTGTTTCCAATGTTACAGATGTGCAATGAATTTCTAACTTTATTTTCGAATATTAAAAAAATTAATTTTTCAATTTTTTTAATACATAAATTTTTTTTTCAAAACTATTTATTCTGTTTATTGATTCATGCATTGCCTCCAACTTCACACAAGGGTGCAAAATTTTATATCTACTGGACAGGTAAAAGTGTGTCAAATATCAATTATAATATTTGTAGATGACAAAATTATTTTTCAGTTTTTTTAATATTGAAGGAAAAAAATTTTATTCCTAGAATTATTTATTTTGTCATTTTATTCATGCATTGTCTCCAACTTTACGCAAGTGTGCAAAATTTCAGATCGATAGGATAAGTAGAAGTGTATTAAATTTCGATTACAAGATTCGTAGCAGTCAGACAGACAAACAAGAAGTGATATTAAAGAGAACTGTTGTAAAAAACTGGCATTGATCGCGATCGTGTCCATTTTCAGATGTGAATCAATCAACATAAGCTTAATTGACGTATTTTCTGGTGAAAATTGAATTTTTCTAATGTTTAAACGTCGACTTAATCACATCTTTTCAATTGAAAAAATTTACATTTGCGGCAAACCTGTTGCTATTAATCCAGAAAATGATCGCCAGTTTCCGACACAAAAATAAACCGTTATGTGTTTCGTATAGCTACCGCAAATCGGTTAAATTTTTCACGGTTAGAAGCCAATTATTTTGAAAGCTCTCACCAAAACACAACATTTGTCATCAATTAGTTCCGACTGAACAAGTTCGTAACATTTATAAAAGAAATGAAGTTTGCTGACGCCTTAACAACGTTTAAACAGTTTGCCGTTTATATTTCGGTGAAAAAAAGTTCAGTATCGATTCATCGAGTATATTGATTATTTGTTAATAAGATGAACTTTGAAGAATACAAAAACTGTTTGTTTTGAAATGATGCATCAACGAACTTTGATGGCCTAGGATCCGCACCTGCCATTGTATACATCAACGCACGTTCATGTATTATTTCTAATAATTATATTATCTAAGGGGACGATAGAGCTACTATTGAGTACCGCACCGGGTCTTCTGTGATGGAAAGATGCAGCCTCAATCATGTTTGGTTGTGGGAGTTGGCTCGGCTTCTACTTAAAAATCCTGGTAAAGCTTAGACGAAGCACGCGTTTAAAGTTTCAGTTCGATAAATTTATTCGGGATCTTGAAGTAGCACCTCGAAAGTAGCACTTTAAGTGGCTGCTCTTGTCATCGGTTACGGTTCAATCATTGTTGATCCTCTTCTTCGGAGTTTGACAATTGGACGGTTATAAATAGCTGCGGTGGATAGATTAGCAGCATACCATGGTGGTGAAACTTTTATAACGATAGCTACCCGTGGTACTCTCTCACCTTCTTTAAACTATGACGTCACCTGAGTAAACGATGTTATGAATTCGTATCCACTTGAAACCGTTGAAACCTATGCAATAGGTTTTGCATTCCTTAGGCAATTTGTAGGTCCTATTTTGGTCAAAATCGCATTAATGAAGTTTTTGTTTTAATGATGGAGCTAGACTCCGATAAGTTATTTTCACTGCAAACAAAATGATTTTTTTTGGCGTTTTCTTTGATTTAAATGCTTAGTTCATATGACAAGTTGCAACGAATCCGTCATTTCCTAGTTTAAAGTAGAATTGACTTTGCATGTAAATTTAAAAACAACCCACACGAAATTCTGCATAAATTTTGGAATTTATGCAGAATTTGTCACAAATTTTCATAAAACATCGAACGAGTATAAATGCGTTGATCAAACCTTCATTACTGCATTTCTTCTAACAATAATTCATGCTCTTTGAGTCCGACTGAGGAAAGTCTAATTCTCAGCTCGCATTTTTTTTTTGTAGAAGGCCGTAGACTGATAGATAAAACATAGAATAAATTTTCATCTAAATGCATTACCTAAATATTGATCGAAAAGAGGGCTAAATAGTTTCCACGTTGATTAAAATGATTGGATGTGCTATACTGAATTTTAAAATGTGTTCTAAATTCATGTAAAGAAAAGAGCATTTTTTGTCCTCATGTGATGGTGCCCTCATTTTGATGGTGACTTCGAATCTTAAATCCGCACCAAAGGATGGGCAACTCAGACGTCGTCCACCGCATGTAGATTGGGTCTCTAATAAACAAAATTAGCGGAGCCTCACATACACGACATACAGACGACATTCACCAGATGCAAACGATCAGTCACATGCTGGCTATATCAATCATACAGGTCATTTTTTCGTCACAAGAAAACGATCACTTATTCGCCACATGCGACCGATCACTTGTTCGCCACATGCAACCGATCACTTATTTGCCACATGCACACGATTAATTATTCGCCATCACATACGATTAATTATTTGCCACGGACAAGCGGTCACTTATTCGCCACGTGTGAGCGATCACCTATTCGCCACATGCACACGATTAATTATTCGCCATACACATACGATCAATTATTCGCCATGTGCACATGATTAATTATTCGCAATATATATACGATCGACTATTCGCCTCCTGCAAACGATCAATTATTCGCCGCAATCGATCAATTATTCGTCAACTATTCGTAAAATCAATCAACTATTCGCCACATACAAACGTACACGTATAACGATCATTTATCCGTCACTCAGGAACGACCGCAAAAACTCGTTGCGCATTATTGGATTAATTTCAAACTGTCCCCCGGAAGTAGTTTTGAGATGTTTTTAACATTATATTATTCGTATGTTGGCGCAAATGTTCGTTAATTTTTGCTTTATTTGAATAAGATTCTTGAAATTTATTTTAATTTTTGTGATGCTACCGGATAAGGTGTTCCAATTTATTGAACTGTCAGCCTATCAAGAGTGGATCATTCTAAGTTTTCGTTGTTTTTTCTACAGTGATTTGCATTCTTTAAGCTCACGATTATTATTGTACAGTCAAACCAAAGCGGGACGAACTACGCCGACGAGTTAGACTTCATTTCGTTGACGCTATTAGAATGCATAAATGTTATCTTTAAATCATTTCTATTCTAAAATCGTTGATCAAACACATTTCTGCTCGATCCGCATTCTTCTGAAAATTTTAAGTGAGTTATTTACAGGACTTTATTCCATCACAAAATTTTTCAGAATATTGATCAATGGATTTACAAAAATCAACACTAAAAGATGCGTGCTGGGGATGCGTTGAAATCGGAAGTCAAGAAAATTTCGAAGGAGTCTGAAAATTCAGTATCCAAGTTCATTACAAGAATGCTTTTTGCAACAAATTACTAATTAATCCCTATTTATTCGTCAATTTCACAGGATACTTCGACTTTACACGCTCTTGTACCGTGGCCATGCCACGCATACTACGTAGTTCATGTTTCACTCCGGACTCTCAGGCCCAAATCAGCTCTGAATTTCAACAAGTAGTTTCTTCTCAATCAAGAAGTTAACTTATTTATTGAAACTAAAATGATGAATCAGTATTCAATTTGAATAAATCTTAAAACCATATCATCTTACATTTCGAATACATACAAGGTGGTATTCATCTATTTATATAATTGTTTCGAAAGCATTTTTCATTCGCGAATGTGGCAACTTATGTACAGCTTAGGCAAGCTATATGCAGCTCAGACTGCCTTGTATATAATTATTTTCAATATTATAGCTGATAAATCATGGTTATTTTCAATGTGCATCTCCGTCACTGCAGGATTTCCCAAAGTTTTGCAGAAATGAATGAAACTTGACTTGTTGCAAAGGAAATGGACTGAAAAATGTATATATTTCCAATATATTTCTATTGACAGTCCTCACGTTTAATCCGTCGACGATTTTATTGCAGTCTTGAAATGAAGATACGAATAAATTAATGAGCACGCACGTTCTCCTATGAACGATGTTTAAAAGAAAGCTGTTGAACTTTTCTTCATTAAATATGCACGACTGCAGCTGATCCTGCACATCTCTTCATTATATATACACGACGGCGGCTGATCTTGCACATCTCTTCATTATATATACACGACGGCGGCTGATCTTGCACATCTCTTCATTATATATGCACG